ATAACACTAAAAAGGATAAAAATCAACCAAAGAAAGTTTAAAAAAACCCTAACCACACGTATACTAGTTCTTTTAGGGTTCTACATGGCTCTAATGAGGTAGTTTACTAAAATCTCTATATGACATTTCAGTTCTAGAAAAAAAGGTACTCAGGTTGTCCTTATAACCTATTAAGCTAAATAAAGACTTCAATCCTGACTCATTTCAGGCTTAATGAAGCAAACTCAATTCGAGGAAATACATTGTTATATATCCAGACAAGATAAAGAATGTGTTCTTGAAGTAATTTGCTAGGCCTACACGAAGAAAACCAATATTCTTCAATGGAGTAGTATTTCCTTACCCTTAGGTGAACCGGGACAACGCTTGGGTTTAAAATATGATATGTAAAAATTTCTAATGCATCACACAAACGAAATCTTAAAATCATATAATTTTAATTTTTTAAAGAACATAATATATCATTAATTAAATAAATCCAAACTCATAATTTTCAAAGTCAAAACAAAAGGTAATCAACTCATGGTTTGACTCTCTATTTCATAAAAAAAATGCCCATAGTAGAGTCGCCAAATTATCATAATGACCTTTTGGTGGGCTGATGATGGGTTTTGAAAAATGGGAATCCCCACAATCATTTTTAAAGTGGGTTTGTACCACTTAAAATTGGGTAATTTAAATAAAATTTAAATTTTACTATGTACTAGTTTTGGTTTGCGAAATCATAAAATAGGTTCAGGATTCGATTGCATATGGGAAAGGATTAACACCCTCACAATGTCTAAAATTGATACCTATTTAATTACCCATTGTTTTAAAATTGAAAATTATGAGTTCAATATTTTATTTAATTTTGACTCATTATATGAAGATTTAAAAAGAGTATTTATGCCATTAGGAGTTCATAATACTTACCCCACTCACGAGCAAAGGTCTACTATTAATCTCATTAAATAAATATTGTCTTAGTTTTGAAATCATTATGCAAGAGTTTGAAAGGATGTCAATTTATTTCTGGAGTTAATAATGATCACCCCGAGCACAAGCGGACGATACACTATTAAAAACCTAATAAATGAACATTGCCTTTAATTTTGAAAACGAATTATGCAATCAAACAACCGATTTTTAAACTTATTTATGCTAATGTGTTAATTAAGGTTTTATCTAACTAAAGTGTCAAATTATGAATTTTAAAAGACTTACTAAAACTAATCCTAAAATTGAGTCTCTAATATTAAACATAAAAGATTTTAAAATTTTATTCGAATAACTAAATTAGAACCCATCCACAAGCAGATACTATTTTAAATATCCTCATAATTTAGTTAATTGAATATTTACTAGAGACTAGACCTAAAATTAAGGCTTCATCTAAGTTGAGAATAAATTATTTAATTATAGAACCTAATTAAATTAACGCTCTAAATATTAAATCTAAGTAAATTTTAAAATTTTAATCGAATAATTAAAATAAAATCCTAAACACAAGCGAAAACTATTTTAAAAACTCCCCATTGCAAGTGAGATACTATGAGAAAACCTAAGGGTTCCAATCTAAATCGAGTAACCTAAATTCAAGGAACAAATCAAACAAACATTACATATCGTAATAAAAGAACTACTAAATTTTAAAGTAACATAAATATAAAAACCCATAAATAAATAAATGACTAGAATTACCCAAAACTAAAATATACATAAAAGGAAATAAATAAATAAAATAAGAAACTAAACAGAAAGGGCATGCATTCAACGCATTTAATGATAATACTAAATTACGAAAGAAAAAAGGAAATAAAGAATTTAAGAAAAAAATAAACTTTAAACAGTGAATAAATTTAATGGCAATAAAAGACTTTATGACCGAGAATTAGTAAAGTTTTAATAAATAAATAAAATGAAGGACGAGATTACAACGAAAATAGGATTAGTGGGTTAAATTGGGAGGGAAACAAAGATAAAATTAGTATAAAAAGGATTAAACTGATTTTTCAAAAATATGTAGGGACTGTGACGGTGATTGTAACCTACGCATATGCTAGGCGCGGATCCCATGTTCTCCCAGTGGGACCTCGGGTCAATATAAAGCCAAAGTAATGGAACACCATTCATTTTTTCCTCACCCAAAAAAATAGATCAAAACATTTTGTTTTCTTTTCTCTCAAATGTTCATCGTGTTCTTCATTTGTTGAAGAACATTCAACCGGTGTTCAAGGAGAACATAGATTTCGGCCATACTTCGCCTCGTTGGTCTCCTTAAATTAGCGTCGACCGTCGTTCATTGGTGGCGAAATCACAAAATTTTTAAAGTGTTCAAAAGTTCATTATATCATCTTCCAAAATATCACTTTGATTTTCATCGAAGTGCCTCGATGAGAGTGAGATCTGAAAATGAATTTCACGATTCTCTACTCCGATCCTTGACCATTCTCTGTCGGTAGGTTCTCGAGATTATGAAACAAGGAAGATAAAAGGTCAAACGACCATGCATGCAAGTGAAGAAGACCAAAGAGAGTACTAGAAAGATACTTTCTTTTGGGGATGCAATCTAACCTTATCTTTTGATTTTCGTAGGGATTTATTGATACAAAGATTTTTTTTTTTTCGAATTATAGTTTCATTTGAACTAAAATGCTCTCTCTTATCTATTTTCCTTAATTTTTTGGAGATCTATTTTTCCACCAAGAGATAATCTATTCGAAAATGCATCGAAAATTTTGTGAATGAGGCTTGCTTGGAATGAAGACTCTCTGAAAACCTTAAGATGTTGTTTGGTTCGCTGAAATGTTTATGAGGAAATTAGAATTTGTGAAAGAATTGAAATATGTAGGAATTAGAATCTGAATCTGAAACCTATTTGGTTGGTAGAAAATTGAATTAGAATCCAATTTCACATTCTGTTGGGTTCGCCATATCAGATGAATTTGATTTTAGTAATGTAAAATGACAGAATTGCCCTTCTTATTTTTTTACTTAATTTTAATTTGTTTTATAATTTACATGTAGCAATATATTATAAAAATTTAAAAAATATTAAATTTTCATTTTATTAATTGATAATTCATTTCAATAAATTATAAAAATCATACTAATAAACATTATAAGTTAAAATCATTCCAATTAGGGATGATCATGGGTCGGGTTGGATCAGATTTTTGGTTCATCCGACTCGACCTGAGAATAAGGGAACCTTCACCCGAGACCTGACCCGACCCGATCAAAATAAAGTTTCACCTGACCTGATCTGACCCGACCCGAAATAATAAAAAAAATTATTTTTATTCAATAAAAACAGTGACTTAATTGAAAAATATATATATAGAGGGGTATTACTGTAATTATTCCTAAATATATAAGGTAAAATTATATATTTTTTCGAGTCGGGTCGGGTATTTTTCACCCTAAACCCGACCCGAATATCACACTTTAAAAAACCCGACCCGATCCCAATTTTTTTTAAAAAAAAAGCCGACCCGAATATCAAAAGATTGATGATGGTAGTATGGACAAATTTTACATTCCCTCCTCCAAAAACCCTAATTCTAAGAGATTCTAGCGAACCAAACGCCACATAAAGATACTCTTAATCTAGACCGTTAGATTGCATTATGATCCAATGGTCAGGATCATGCGACGCTGAAGATAAAAGATGGGAAATCCTAGCTCTCGTGGGCCTTCTTCTCTATTGGGCTTCAGCTGTTGGGTTGTTGTATTGTTTTGGATCTAGGTTTAGTAACCAAACCTTATATTTGGACCTATAACAATTAAATGAATATAATGTTGAGTGCCCATTTATTACTAGCATGATCTGTTACATATATATGGACACTTAATTAATAATAACATTAATAAAATAATCACTAAATAGTAATTAATAAACAACACTAATAATGGTAAATATAATAATGATAATATAAGAATAATATAATAACACAATACTAATATATATTGAATATACTACACGTAATATACAATATATGATATAATATATAATAATAACATACATAATAATAATAAATAGAAAATAAATAAGTAATATGAATGATAATTGATTTCCGACGAAAATAAGTGTAAAACAAGACCAATCCTCTAAATAATAACCCAACATCCCATTTTTTCAGAGTAATATTTTGCTTATTTAGATAAAGTACTCTTAATAAATATTTATATTATGTTTATATTTTGATATAAATAAATAAAATAGTCGATCATAATACACTAAAAGGTTTAAATAATATTTTGAAATAAAATATTATTATTTTTTTAATTAATAACTGATATTTGATCTATTGATCGACTAATCTAGATCGAGTACTACAGAGACGAGAATGACCCTTCTAATTCAGTTTACTCCATTTATAAAAATCAAAATTTAAACTCTTAACATTATTTAAGAGATGTAGTCCCAATAAACCAAGTGGTTGTTGGAAAATAAAATATTATTCTAGCAGTATATATTTCTCTGCAAGAGACGTGCAACTGACTTCAACTAAAACAAAAGCCAAGTTGGCCTATGTTTATATTATATATTTGTTTCTCTTTCTTATTTAATTATGAATAGAAAGTTGACACTACACAACTGGGGGTCTCCAATCCTTCAAGTGCAATCACATTCATCTTATTCACATTATTCTTTATTAATCAAGAATTAATATATATTTAAAAATCTTTGAATTATTTAACAATATATGTTTAAATAATATTTTAGAGACATTACGTCGAATTTTAAAATTTTTCGAAATAACAAACACCATTCAAGTATTGAAGTCTTTTAATTTATAAAATTTAATATGAATGATTTGGAAGATATATATGATTAGTTTTTATTAGTTAAATTATATTAAGATATTTATTAACGAAGAAACTTTATTTGAGAGGTGGATACATTTCCTTAAATCTGTCTAAAAAAAACATAAAATTGCTTCACGACAGGGCAGCATGACCTTTATCATGTCTTCCTTCAATGTCCCAGTTGTTTAATGGTATATAAACTAAAGCCAAGGGAAAAAACAAACAGAGGGTGAAAATGGCAGAGAAAGGAACAAGATCAAAGCTTTCAGCTCCATCACGTCCATCAATAACTGTACCGTCGAAACCTGCCATGGATGGCTTATTTTCAGGGCTGAGTCCAGGGCTGATACCAATTTTCTTTAATATTTTTTTCTGACACCGTTTGATTAATATTTTTCGAAATAGTACCTTTTTGTTGAATTGGAGAAAGGCGCGTCTCCGGGGACGCGTTTTACTCGTGTTTTCGTTGAGTTGGATGCCCACGTGTGGAAGGCGCATCCCCGGGGACGCGCTTTCGCCAGCTCGACTGCCACGTGTGGAAAGCGCATCTCCGGATACGCGCATTCCATTAAATGCCATAAATGCCCCCATCCGTTTTCCCTAACTACCCCTCCTCCTCCCCTACATAAATCCCCTCAACCCTCCCTCATTCTTCACACCAAAATCATATTCTCCTCTCTTATATAACTCAAATTCTCCAACTATTTGAGTTTTAAGTTTGTTATTAGTGGTAAGAAATTTATTTTTATGTTAGTATTTTTTTAAATAGTTATTATATTTTATATTAATATATTTATGTAAATATTATTTTTTTTATTAAAATAATATTTATATAATTATTATTTATTTAGAATTATTAATTTTTTTTGCTAATTATATTATTTTGTCTACAGTTATAATGGAAAACGAAATGCTATTGCGATTGGATATTGATCATATCTCCAGACATTTTAGCGATATGGTAATATTTTTTTATAATTAATGTTAATATTTAAATTTATTTTTATTTTAAAGTTATTATGAATTTATATTAATTTTTATTTTTTATAATGTATATTATTTAGGATACTGATCGTATTTTAGAGACTTTTATTAAAAATCCACGTATACCGACACCGGAACGTATTTTGCCATATTTGGCTTCTGCTGGGTTCGGGTATATTAAAACAATTATAGGCAGTTGCAAACTCGAACCTGTCCTAATTTATGCACTAATTGAGAGGTGGAGGCCCGAGACACAGACTTTTCACCTTCCATGTGGAGAGGCCATAATTACATTGGAGGATGTCTCTATGAATCTGGGGCTTCCCGTCGACGGAAATATGATGTGTGGTATGGCGGATGGTGATTGGCAATCAATGTGCATTGATTATCTTGGAGCTGCTCCGCCAGAGTTTAATGGAGGTAGAATAGCTTTATCTTGGTTGAAAGCTATTTTTGAGGTTTTAAATGAAAATGCTTCAGAGGATCAAGCAAAGGCATGTGCTCGGGCATATATTCTACGAATAATTGGAGGAATATTGATGCCCGACAAATCTCGCAACCAGGTGCATTGTATGTGGTTGCGGCATCTGATCGATTTTGATGAAGCTGGAAGATATAGTTGGGGCGCTGCAGTTTTGGCATTTCTCTTTAGAGAAATGTGTCGGGCGACGAATTATAAGAAAACTGCTATCGGTGGATGTCTTCTGCTTCTACAATCATGGGCGTGGTTCCGCATGCCTTTCTTATGCCCGATCGTGAATGAACCATACGTATTCCCCTTATTGTTGAGGTAATTTTCAAACTAAATTTTGATTTAAATATTTTCAATTAAATAGGGTTATATTTAGTTTATATTATAATTCATAGGTGGTCGATGGAAAAAAAGGACCATAAAAGTATACCTACTGGGTTAAAGGAAATTCGTTTACTTATTGATACGAAAGCTGGGTCTGAGGTATGTTTTTAAATTTGTTTAATTATTAATATTTTAATTTAAAATGCTAGATATAATTAGAATATTTTATTTATTTGAATTGTATATTTATATTTCAATTTCAGTGGATACCTTTTGCGAGCGATGAAGTGAAAGCTTGCATCCCACCCCACCTTAGTGTGTCATTAGAGGTATGGATATCGGTTATACCTCTTATATGTTATGCTATTATTGAGTGGCATCCAGTTGATCGCGTGCTCCGTCAGTATGGTTGTACGCAATATATTCCTGGAGCACCTAGGAATTTAGACGACGTGCATAACATAGATAGACGAGGAAAGAAATATGTTAACTGGGTAGTGAGACACAGAGATTGGATTGCGCTTTGGGAGAACCGATATACACTGTTGGCCCCTCGACAATATTACGCTGAAACTGGTCATATGGTTACGGATAACTATATGGACTGGTTTAATGAAAATGGGAAGCCGTTTCTACTTTCGGCGGAAGCACGAGGGGTTAACATTCCTAGGTGCCGAGAAAGACGTCAACCGTCTCAATATCATCGTCCCCCGAAGCGTGGACGGAGAGAAGGCGCTACCGGTTCTGCATCAATCCCACCACAACATCCTTATTCGTCGATGCCGCAGGGGTACATGCCCAGCCCTCCACTTCATATGCCAAGCCCACCAGTTTATATGCCATCTCTGCAGGGTTACATTCCGAGCCCGCAGGGTTACATTCCTAGCCCGCCAGGTTACATGCCTAGCCCGCAGGGTTTTATACCATATGGAGGTGCATATACGACTATATTTAATGATCCAGCATATGGTTCATATGCATCTTATTTGGCTGGTGCTTCTCCGCAGACACCTCAATCTCCATCTGGATCACAGACATCGATGCCAATGTTTCCACAGTTTTCACAGTTCCCGGGGAGCGGTGGGATTGTTACTAGCACTCCTCAAGGGTCGTTATTTTATACAGGCCCTTCAGCCCCTTCAGCGTCATCTACACCAAATGAAGAAAATGCTGCTGATGATGATAGTGAAGATGAGGAGACTGAAGAACAAGTTCCACGAAGAAATCCTCCACGAAATAGACAACCACCGCCATGTGGAACTCATTCGAGAATACGACATCGGTGATCCAGTTGTATTTAATGTTATTTAAATAATTATATTTCAGAATTTTATGTAATTTGGTTATGTTATTTAAATGTTTCATGGCTGTTACATACATATTTTTAATGTTATTTTTATTCACATTTAACATTAAATGTTTGATAAATGTTTTTAAAATACAAATTATATTATTCGAAATTTAAAATAAAAATAAAAATAATATTATTCGAAATTTAAATTTAAAATATAAATTATAGTATTCAAATTTTAACATTCCGATTATAGTATTCGAAATTTAAATTTAAATTTAATATTCCAATTGTATTCGAAATTAAAAGTTATATTCCAATTATAGTTCACAATACTTAAATTGAAATTAAATTTATCCATACATATGATTTTATCATTAACATATATATTAAAACGTATACATTAAAATCAACTTATGTTGAGTTAATCGATCGACGGAATCGGCCAAGAGGGGGGTGAATCGGCAATTTATTCAATGTCACATTTCAATGCTCATTCCATACAATTTCAATGTCACAATCAACTTATCACTTCACATTTATTCAATTTATCCATAACAGTTTATCTAATTTATTCAAACTTCACATAACGTTTTAATTTAAGTTATTCTTAACTTGCTGAACTTTCAAAAGAAGTTAAATTTTGGTTATAATTTACCTGATTTATTGATATATCTAGTGTCCCCGAGGGACATGAGTGACATAATAGGGCAATGATAACATATTCTCTGACAAAATAATGGAAGGCGCGCCCCCAGGAACGCGCCTTCATGTGAATAGTTAAATAATAGGTACTGATATATCTAGTGTCCCCGAGGGACATGAGTGACATAATAGGGCAATGATAACATATTCTCTGACAAAATAATGGAAGGCGCGCCCCCGGGAACGCGCCTTCATGTGAATAGTGAAATAATAGGTACTGATATATCTAGTGTCCCCGAGGGACATGAGTGACATAATAGGGCAATGATAACATATTCTCTGACAAAATAATGGAAGGCGTGCCCCCGGGAACGCGCCTTCATGTGAATAGTGAAATAATAGGTACTGATATATCTAGTGTCCCCGAGGGACATGAGTGACATAATAGGGCAATGATAACATATTCTCTGACAAAATAATGGAAGGCGCGCCTCTGGGAACGCGCCTTCATGTGAATAGTGAAATAATAGGTACTGATATATCTAGTGTCCCCGAGGGACATGAGTACATAATAGGGCAATGATAACATATTCTCTGACAAAATAATGGAAGGCGCGCCCCCGGGAACGCGCCTTTATGTGAATAGTACTCCGATTATAGACACTATTATATGCAACATATTATAAACTTTCAAAACAAACTTCAGTTCACAAGCTTTCAAATTCTCAAATTCCCAAACTCTAAATTCTCAAATTCTCTGAAAATGAGTCGTCTTTCTGCTGTTGTTTTGTATGATGGAGAAATTAAGGAAGCTGAAGAGGGGGTTATTTTTGAGTCAGATCATTATATCTCCTTAACCTTGAAGAGAAACATCACAATTGAGGAGTTAATCACAAAAATTTCGTTAAAAATTCGTGTAGCAGGCCAGAGAAGACTATCTTCACTTCAGTACAGATTTCCTACTGAACTTTTTCCGCTCACGTATACATCATTTCAGCTTTCAAACGATGATGATGTTTCTATGATGGTTGATGCTCATATGGGGAGTTCACAATCTCTTATTGAAATGTATGCCACTTTTATTGAGGTTCGTGCAACTCGTGGTCTCTCATATTCCTCTCACTTTGGCATTGCATATCAAACTGATCAAGTTGATAGCCCGACACAACTGATCTGTAATGATTTCACATCATTAATGGCGGATCCAACGCCAGATACCATGCCATCAAGTTCAATAGGAAGGCATTCATCTGCAACTGCTTATGATCTCAACCCACGTGGCTTCACCAATAATCCATATGGCAACATATCTTCTACTTCAAGGGGCAGACATTCATCTGCCAATGTTTTCGACTTACATATGGAAATGCCAACGAGACGACAGTCTATTCACATCCCACATGATACAATGGCCTCAAGTTCAAGGGGAGGACACGCAAGCGAGAACTTATTTGACCTCAATATTGGATTATCGGAGGAACCCTCATCTCCACCAGAAGAACCTCTTCGGGAGCCAGGTGCAGATGGTGCTGAAACGGGATTATTCGTTGAACCCGACTCACCACAGTTTAACGTACATTCTGATGATGACGAGGATGACGTTCCGATAAAT